TCATATATGAAAATCTATCTAGTGGGCACAGTTCACTCAAATGTTGAATAGAATATTTAGTCACTTTGCACTGCACTTGTATTCAATGCAACACTCCAATCACAATAACCAGACAACTGCCAGCCCGTCAGCCCGCCAGCGAGTCATCTGCCGAATCGGATATCCCCCCCGTTAGTCAGTCAGTCTCTGAATCACATGTGAGGTATTGAATAAAAGACAAAGAAAAAGAGCTGCTAAAATTGACTAGACTATTTCTTTCGTTGATATTTTTTTTTTTTGCATTTTTTCTAAAAAAGAAAAAAATCTGCTGATGGTCAGCGCAGCATAAAAATGCATCCCAAGAGAGCACTCATAATGTGCATGTAGGCGAGTGAGTGTATAATAGCTACCAGAAAAAAGTGCAGCAACTGACAATTGTATAAAAATGCAGGAAAAATTTCAAAAATACCCACAGAGGCACACTTTGCGTTATTCATATCGAGTAGCTATATATAGGTGAAGGTGGTGCGCACCCCACAGACTTACCCGAATAGTCATCATTATACTAAAACTCGTCTAAATTGACCATTTGGCAGTTGGCACTATGGGCACGTCCGTTGGATATTGTACTCAAGTTGCTAATATTTGTATGTATGTATATACATATATATTTTGTGCATATACAATGACGGCGTGTATCTCCCCGGCGCCAGGCAATCAACTAACTAAGCATTGAAACTATTGGCGCAGCTGACGACTACACAGACAAAATGTGAAGTTAAAAAAAAAAATAATAAAAATTGAAATAAAAAAATAAAATAATATGATGGAAAGAAAAAATATTTCGCTGTATGCTTTAAAAATATTGGTTCTATTAAACGAAGACCTCTTATTTCTTTTTCATTTATTATTACTTTCTTTTGTTTGAGCTTTAATTTCAAAATTTTTAATTTATTTTTATTTTTTTTTTTACTTTTATTTTTATTTTTATTTAAATTTAATTTTTTTTTTTCATTTTCAGCGACGTTCAAATGCTTGAAAGCGTATATATAAATATTTCAAATATTTTGGAAAAATAAAATTAATTTTTTTCAGTAAATATTTTTAAAAATAGTTACTTTGCCTTCGATTTTTCATATTTAGTTATTTTTTTTTTTTTTGACAAACAAGTTACAGCAATTGAAACTGTACGTTTATTTATTGAAAAATTCCATTTGGTCTGCACAAACCGCAAAATTTTTGTATGTAGTTTTTTTTTTTTTTTTTTTATTAAAAAAAAAATTATAAAAAAAATAAATGGAACTCGGCTTTTAATGGATTTCGCAAAATATCGCTATTTATTTAGCTTTGAAAAGTGTATTTAATATTGCTCAATTTATTTGCCAGCATTTGCATGCTTCACTGGTGGCATCAATAGCCTAGTGGCAATATTAATTTTTTTTTTTGTTATTTTTTTTAACAATTTTCCTCGCACTCTTTACATATGTATCTATGTATATATTCACTTACTAAAATCGCTGATATTGTTATGTAAATGCAAAGCTAGGCAAAAATAAATTGTCAAATAATCAACGATTTGTGTAAATATTGTGAAATATTTTGAAATTGTTTAAATTTGTACTTCCGATTTATATGAGTTTTCATTGCAATTAAATGCGATTTTTTACTTACCGTTATTAACTATAATAAAATATTGCGTTTTTTCTGCAAACTTTTTTTGCAAAAAATTAAAGTAAAAAGTATTACCATTGCTAATGAACAAACATGCACATAGTGTTGTTATACAATAAATATCCTGTAGAACAGGAAATGAAGTGAGCAAATAAAAAAATAAAAAATATTAAAAACAATTTGAGCATGATGAAATATTTAATATGGTTTCCAAGGCTTCTTTTAAAGTGAAATAATTGAAAATAATAGAAAATTTTCACGATAGAGTATAGCAAAATTGATGAAAAGGCCCATAAAGGATTATGAAACAGCTAAACGAATAGTCTTCAGATTTTCAACATTTTTACTAAATGAGATTTCATTATTTAAGAGTTAAGTTTGTGAGAGAAAAGCAACCATGCCCATCTTAAATCGACTCTTATTTATAAATATAGGACTAGTAAAAAGTAAACCATTATTTTTGCACCGAATTGAAGGCTTTCTTTACCATAGTTAGCTTTAACCGATTTACATTTTTTCCCATAACATTTTACCATTTTGTAGGTAATGTCATAGGGCTTCTCTCAACCCTTCTCTATATTGCTGCGAATTCGATACAATGACCTTCACAAGTTTCTCTTGAGGTCAATTCTTCAACAACTAAGTCATGCGCCATAGACAGAACCAATGATTATCACTTAGTGGGAAGGGCGCACTATGAGGTGAATGCAAAAGAATCTCCCAACCATGCTTTCGGAGTTACTGAGGAGTCAATATCGGTGCGCGTGCCCTGATTTAATACAATTCCCATACTTCTGGCTAAAACTGGGCGCTTCTGAGCGATTGTTTAATTCTTTAAAAAAGTATAAACTCTAAAAGTGCAGGTCCGAATTCGGAGTTTCACTGCAGCTCATAGTGGATGATTTCATGCGAATCAAACCAAATATACCACAAAGCCTTTTGGAAAATTAAACATGGCTAGGAGACAATTTTTGCCTACTCATTGTCCTTCGATCACGATAGGTTCCTCTGACCCTACTGTAAGTGATACACTTTTCATCAGCAGCCGTTATCTTCAGTACTGCTTGGTTCTTTTATGATTCAGCAGCGGGTCGTAGGTGGAAATACGGTCCATGAGGTATTCTTTTGTTAACTCATATGACACCCATACATCGAGCTTCTTTGTATATCCAATCTTTTTCAAGTGGTTCCAAACGGTGATTAATGTAATTTTTAGCTCCCAGGCAATCGAAACATGACGATCGCTTGACGATCAAACTGGACAGTTTTCATTATTTTATCGATATTTTCGACGAGAGGCCTTGCACACGGTTAAACAACTTTTTTTCATTACCGAAACCAAAATTTCGCATGATTTCATGGTTGATTGCTACAGTATCAAGACCGTAACCACTATTTACACGTTCAGCTGCCTGATATGGGTTTTCGCCTTTATCTAGAAAAATTGTAGAAAACACGTAAAGCATATTATCACTTTGCTGGTGTCTATCTTGGGCATTCACTCAAAATCTACTAACATTATCGATCAACACTTCTGCCATTATCTTTTTTAGTACAAAATATCATCTTTCTTATGCCATCTAGCGACATGCAATCGCACTTATGGAAGATGATATAGAGATCACTAAAGTCATCTAAAATACTTAAATAAGGGTTTACTTTTTTCTAGATCTCAAATTTTGCATTAAACTGATTTCTGCTATGATGAGAGCAATGCTTGATATAGTGATTGCTGCAGACCCTTTCACTCAATGATCTATCGATATAACTGTGATACCACCATTGCAAGATAATGTGCTCTCAATGTTCTCAATGCTCTCACTGCTTTTCTTAGAGCAGTATTAATTTAATTAAAATATGCTGAGTGATTTTTAACGTACAGCAGTAACGGTCAGCAGTTCAAGAAGCTTAATTCTGATTAAAATCGATTTAAATCAGTAGTCAGCTTTAGAGACTTCAAAAAATCATTTTTTTTTTCTTAAATATATTCTCAAACTATCCAAGAATATATCTTCATAGTTTCAGTGATCAATTTGACATATTTTAGAAGCTGGAGAGAGTTTTAGCTGCTGAGCGTCGAGCAGGCTCGAATGATTGGGCTGAAATTCATAGTTTTCAGCCCAATCATTCGAGCCTGCTCGACGCTACTAAAACTCTCTCCAGCGCGTTTATTCGAGTCTTCAAGGTGCCGTTGATAGCAAAAAAAATATATGCTCGATCGAAAAAAATCAGTATTAAATTAAATTCTATTTAAACTAAAAAAAGTTCAAGTTCACGGGCCCCTCCCTCTCGTAACAAGTGGCGTTGTGAACTTCTGACGATGCTTAAATTAAATTTTAGACTTCAGAAAACTTCCGTCGAAGCCAAATATTCAACAAAGATGCAGTTCTGTTCTACTTCGCAAACTACTTCAAAATCATCAGTTTATTACTAACTCATGTGTTTTATTTTCAAAACAACCGTTAGATAAGTTAGTGTGTACACATTATTACCTTATTTGTTGATACACAATGAATGGCCTTAATAATAACTAGCGCAATATAATTATAATTATAATAATTAATGAGTTCCATATTTAAACAAGTTATTGCTTTTGCTACTAAATATGTTTGTTTGTAGATTAACTCGGGTACTCGCTAACCATTAACACCATGTTAGGCTACTTGCGCTGCAATTAAAGGTAATTTATGCTGTTGGCAGATCAGGCGAGGGTGTCACTACTGGTTCATTCATTGATTAAATGCAAATCCAAGCCACGAGATACTTTGTTAATTAAATGGAATGAATAAATTTGCTTCTATTGAACCCAGTGCCAGTATGGTGAGGTGTACATAGAACTTTTGGTGGGAACCACAGCGCACTCTAGCGGAGTTTTAATACTCTTTTTCTTCTAAGCCAATAGAGACGTAGGCATTGCCGAGTTAAGAACAGCGCGCCGTTCTTTTTTTTTCTCTTTCCCATTCATCGTTTCGTGGAGACACCAAGTACAGCCAGTTTTTACTCCACTTAACCTCAACAACGATGTGTAGGTCTACCACTTCTCCGCTACTACCGGCCGGTGCTGTATTGGAAACTGCCAGGAGTGGGCAAGTACAGCGAAATATTTGCTTAGGTAGGAGCTCACCGGGCTTTTAGGTCGCAAGTAGTCTAAACCATATTTTTCAAGCTAAAAAGTTTACTGAGTACACGCGCCGGGTTTAAAATATGCTCGCTGCCACCCCAACTAATACCACGTCATACATAATATTGCATTGTGCACAAACAAAGAACTGGATTTGCAGAAAATTCTTGACTGGTTTAGTTTTCACCCCACATACCAATGTCAAGTAGACTTCATAGTTGAGCTCCCAGTGCAGTAATATAAAAGCGGCAAGATCTGTCAGAGTTCACATTACAGTGCTCAGCTGAGTTCAGCTACACTGATGTGATTATCGAGCGGAGAAGTTGAATTCCGAAAGAAAGCCAAGATGAGGACCGCAACGGTAAGCCTCTTCATCGTTTCATCAAGCAATATAAATTTTTTATATACCTCCTTGCTTCTCGCAGGTTCTGCTTTTAGCTGCAATTACCTTACTCTGCTTTGCGCAGTATAGAGCCAGCATTATACCCTTGACCAGTGGTGTGCATCAATTGCCATATTTGATAACTGTGCCTAGTGTAGTGACCATTGTTAGAGCACCAGAAGACGATGGACAATATAAGCCTGTGCCCGGTCTGGAGGGCGAATATGTGCCCGGCGGTGAAGATGAAGGTATAGCGAATAGTATAAACGGGGCTGATGGAGCTGGTGCTGGGGATGGAGTAGGTGCCGGTGCTGGGGATGAAGATGGCGCTGGTGCCGATGTTGGAGCTGTGGCAGCTTCAACCGGTAGTTCTGCTAGTGATGCAAATGGAAGTGCCGCAGGCTCCGAAACTGGTGGTAGTAGCGAAGGTAATGGATCGGCTGATGGTGCTGCTAATGCAGCTGGAAGTGATGGCTCTAGTAATGGTAACGGTGACTCCGGAGATGCTAGTGAAAATGGCGGTTCTGGTGGTGACAATGCCAATGGCGGTTCAAGTGCTGATAATGGTGGTGGTGCCGGCAGTGCTGGTGGCGAGGGAGGAAGTGGTGGCGCTGTAGGTGCTGGAGGTAATGCAGGAGGTGGTGGCGGTGGTGGAGCTGGTAGTGCGAATGGAGCTGGTGGAATTGGCGGTAGCGGTGGTGCAAGCAGTAGTAGCGGTGCCGCTGGTGGTGGTGGAGCTGGTGGTGGTGGTGCGTCTAGCGTTGGAGCTGGAGGTGGTGGTGGCGGTGGTGGAGCCAGTGGCACCGCAGGAGCAGGAGGTGGCGGTGGTGCCGGTGGCGCAGGAGCTGGTGGCAGCGGTGGTGCAGGAGGATCCGGCGGTACTGGAGGGAGTGGAGGTGGCGGTGGTGGCGCTGGAGGTGGTGGTGGAGGAGGAGCAGGTACTGGTGCTGCTGGTGGCGGTGGTGGAGGAGGTGCTGGTGCTGCTGGTGGTGGTGGCGGCGGTGGTGGAGCTGGTGCTGCTGGTGGTGCTACTCGTAGCGATGGTAGTGCCGGCATTACAGGCGCAAACGGTGCGGATGCCTGGGGTGGTGGCGCAGGTGGGGCTGGTGGTGCAGGTGCTCCCGCTTTACCTTGGATATATGTATAAATTAGAGAATCATATAAAGAACACTAAAGCTCTATAAAATTACTCGAAGCAATGGAAATGTGATTGTAATTATATACATATATACATATATACATATATATATAAACAAAAAATTAACACACTGCAACTGCATTAGCTTAAGTCTAGTCGCCATTTTGTTTCTACTATTATACGTAACTACGTTGCAAGTGAATAAAAATATTCTACTGTAAAAAAAACTTGAATAAAATTGCAGAATGAAATCATCTATATAATACATATATACCTCCCGTATATGCTCTTGTCTTGCTCTAAATGACGGATCAACCCACAACCGCAGCCACTGATAGTAGAGGCCTGAAATCTATTGTATGTGTTATGATTTTGACGTAATAGATCGCCGATAAGAAATGATTATTCGGGAAGTGAGTCTAGACTCTTTGCCAAAAACGACATGAGTAACACTCCAGGGAAGTGAACCCGAGGCCGATCTATTCGAAAAGATTGTATTTCTGGTTTGATTTACTTTACTGGCCTAGATTAACACATAAAAAGATTTTCTTGGAAGTGAGCCTGGGATCGATCCTTAAAAATTATTTAGGATTTTCGTTCGATATGCTGAAAATTTGAAACATGGATCGTAGCTCTTTTCTATGCGGTCATAAGAAAAAAGTGTATTTTGGTTTGATGTGCCTGAGATTTGGAAAATAAATAAATATTATCCCAGCATCAGGGACCAATCTATTTGAAAGTTATGTAATTAGGGCTCGAAGTGGGACTGGGACCTATTTGTTCGGAAAAAAATGAATAATTTGTATGTTGTAATAAAATAATTAAGGTAAACAAACAATTAAATATCAAATGAGCACTTCTCAGATGGTCACAGTCATGGGTGAAAACAAGTTTTTACTAAAATATTGAGGCTTTTCCAATTGACACAAAATTTTTCAAGGGTTTTCGAGTTGAATATGGCTTTCAGCGTCACTACGGTGATTCAATTGTTTTAATGCTAAAATTGTTTAACAAGTCGTTACATTTTACGAGTACGTGCAGTTGACCACAGCGCCACCTATCTGACTCATTAACTAATAAACTTCAATTCCATTAAAAAAAAAATAAATCACTTTTTTTTCCATCGCCATTGCTCTATAAATATTTATTCACCACAAATAATGCGCAATTAAATTAGTTGTTAGAAATTGTAATATTAATTCCAACAACAATAATACATTAAATGTAATATGCACTCATAACAAGTTGTTGTTGTTTAATTTGCATAAAATAATATTTACTGTATTTTGTGGCAACTAAACGAGCGGCATTCATATGTTAATGAGCAATATATTACGTCTGCATACATACATATAAATATATATTATATATACATGTGTTTGTATTTATTAAATGAATTGAATGAGAGTATGATGTAATGAATGGGGTTAAGGTGGTTAGACAAAATACAGAAATGTGCTGCAATATATGACTAAGTACTTATTCATACATACATATACATGTATTTTAAAACGACTACTGCTGCAAGTCCTTCCTTGAACTTATATATGTATTTTCTCTATAAAACATTTAGTAAGAAATTTTAAACTTTAATTTTATTCAGTGTCTGTTTAACGGTTTCACACTGAATGACGCTGAATATAGGAAATCTCCGCTGTTCTAAGCTTCATTGATATATACGATACATATTTATATCTTTGGTGTAAAAATGTTATGTAAATACTACAACAGCTCTTTGAAAAATGACAGAGAATCATCGATTTAAACTTTCACAACTGCACGACACAAGTTCCTCAGGGAAATCCTTTTCCGTCAGCTTTATTGCTTGTATAAGGCAGTTAAAATTATTATAATAGGAACCTTCGAACTGAATCATTTCATCATTTCAGATATAAGTCGTTTTATCACTGACCAACAGACGCATCAGCACAGCTGAACTCGTTTGGAAAGAAATTTTGGAAAAAATCAGCATGTCTAGTCTTGAACATTTCAGTTTCACCCTATTTTTTCAATTGTAAACCCTAAATGTACTCAATCAATATCTCTAAAATTCAGCCAAGTTGGCACCAGAACGTATTGGTACAGGAAAAGTGAAAAATGGAAAATAAAATGCTTGTAATTTATTGTTATGCCCAAGAATTAGCTTTTTTATATAGGTAAGGGTTTACCCTTAAAAATTATTTCAGCATAACGCATCTCTTCCAAAAAGTCCGTCATCTTGGCTTATCTGTGTATACAAGCAAATTCATATGACCACACCATAAATAGTCTGTCGGTGTTCAATTGCACAATTCTTAAGGCTCACGATGCCAAATGATTGACTGTTTCCTAAGCTGTATGGCATGTCATTGTCTAGGAAGTCTCCACTCGGATGATGTAGTCTTAGAAATGTATCGTTTTTGGATCTATCGATTCTAAAGCTGATTGCCCGATACATGCTGGTTTTACATAGAAAGTGTCTTGCACAGATTGGCACATTTGCCTGTACGACACGTAAATGAGGAACACACATTGCTCGGAAGGACTTAATTTCGGAAAAGAGCCCCTAAAAATTTCTAGTCCCATTACAAATATTCTTTAAGTTTAATTGTAATTGATTCCTTTCCGATGTGGCAAGATTCATAGAGAAAATTATAGAGATCTGAAAGCCTTAAAGTTGGTAGAATTTTGTCGATTTACCTGGTTGGCCGGATTTTGCCAACTAATTCATTACGTTATTCGAGTAAAAATAAGAAATGCTTATTTTTAGCTCTAAGTAAGTTAAATCAAATTGAAATCAAAAATATTTATATTTTTAACATGTATATATGTAAGTATGTTCATATATGTAATATATTTCTAAAAAGTCAGTAAACGTTTTTATTGCTCATTTTCAAGTAACCTAAAAGCTTACCTTTTTGAAAATAAACGAGAGCTCACTGTCTTTTTTTTTCTAGAATTTTTTTGTGGAGAAAATGTTTTTATTTTAATTTTTTCCCTCCACAAATGCTTTTTAGGTTATTTTAATTTATTTGTACTGAAGAAGTTATGAAAAATAAAATTCAAAAAAGTCACGTTGTACATTAGTACATGGGAAGTATCGAGCTTTTCAATGCTTTTCCCAAGTAGACTTTCCCAAAAAGATTCTATCTCCCAAACTTTTGTTCCCATCGTTTTGAAAATTTAGAAAAATGTCTAAAATATTGAAAAATTTTATAAGTTAATTATCTACAAATTTTCTTACCAACAAATTCATATATTATATTTAATGAAAAACATTTAAATAAAGCAATATTTTTTCAAAAATTATTTTCGCTAGTAAACTCATAATTTCAGTTCACTTCTGGTGCAAGTTCTACAAATATGTTTGATCAAATAAATTGTAAATACATATACTACAGCAAAATACATCCAATGATACCTACATATATGTACATAAATGCGAAATATTCACATACCACACGCAAATTGCCACAATTTGTGGCAACAGCCACAAAATTCGCTCCTATCGCCACAACGTGAGCCGGTGGTGACTGTGTATTGGCTGTTGGCATTTATCGGCTTGGCACTAAATTAAATGCGCATTCACTTGTGCAACTGCATGTTATATATATGTATATGTATGTAGAAGGTATCGAAACATATACATACTTACATTTCTGTGAACTCCAACTAAGAACTCTGAGGTTTATATATATACACAAGTACGTATGAGGAGAGGTATGAAGGACTCAGATCCATTTAAGCGAAAATAGTGTGAGATTGTGTAGAATATAGTAAAATTCAGCGAACATCCTCCGCTGGACCATTAACAAGTAGTCTGCTCTACACATATATATGCAGCCATACATACGAGTACAAATAAATGTCAATATTTTGCTCATGTGCATGTGTCTCATCACCTCCTCACATATTGGCTGCATTTGCGTCGCGTACACATTTTGGAAAATTATGAACTTCTCAATAAAGTACAAAAAGTGGCGCCAACTGTTTGCTGTATTGGTATGTCATTGTCATCTACATACATATATACGTTTATTGCGAGTCACACAAGCAAAGCGTACTATAAGCGTGTACTAATATGCTTACTATGGCAACATTGAATGCCATGACTCCATGTGAGGCACACACAAAATTAGCAACGAAAACTCCGCACTCCCGCGCTGTAAAGAGAGCTGACAAAATTATGAAAAGTAAAATCAACAAAAAGGACAAAAGCAATACTGTCAACATCATCAACACCAGCAGCGGCAGCAGAAGCAGCAGCAGCAGCTAGTAAAAGTGGTTGCTTTTAGCTGTAAGACAACATTGACACCAACGCGACACTTTACAACAAAAATAACGCAGCAATAAGGTTAGAGGCGAAACTTTATTTACAGCCAACAAAACGTCGATGGCAGAGACTCACTTCAGCATGAAGGCTCATACTGTTTTTTCATCTTTGTTTTACTCCACAATTGAGTTATCTGACTTTATGTTAGCTTTGCTGTTTACTCGAGGAAAATTATGAAAAATATTGCTAGGGCACTCAACACCCTCAGAACTTTCGAGGGTTATTTTAGAGTCTCCTCTCTTTGCCCTCTATGACTTTTCTTTGGTTTTATAGATCAAGAAACTCACTGTTTGGTGGTCAGCACTAGACAATGCTATTTATAAGAGGAAAGCTGCAAAAAGTTCAGCCTACGGCCTCTACACCTATTTCAGGTGCGCTTGAGAATATTTAATCTTCCCCGGGCGGATTTATATGGAAATCCTTATACCATGGAGGAACTAAATAGGATTCCCCCAAACATTGAACTCAATCCATTCTCAAAATAGGTGGACTACAACATTTCTGTTTCCAGCTTCGAGAATATTTTGCCAACAAAAATATCAGAGAAAAGCTAACGACAAAGTGCAACAGGAATGGATCAAAGATTCCGAGTCATCTTTGCCATCGAAATAAGTAAGAGACTTCCCGATCACTGTAGCGTCTTTGGAATGAAACTAACCGCAATAAAGAATGCCACCTTATGGTTATTATAATATACTCTGACAACTATGCCGCCATTTAGTCTCTCTAATGCAATCACACTACCAGAAAAGTGGCAATAAGATGCAGAGAAATCTTAAACAAACTCTT